TCTCAGAAATAAGCACTGGTAACAGTTTGGTATACATCTTTCAATTATACACATACATTTTTAAAATAAGTGAAGACAAAAATCCTCACAATTGGACCAATAAGCAAGATCATGATAAATGGAGAAAATATTGAAGTTGTCAAGGATTTCATTTTACTTGGATCCACAGTCAACGCCCATGGAATCAGGAGTCAAGAAATCAAATGACCTGTTGCATTAGGCAAATCTGCTGCAAAAGACCTCTTTAAAGTGTTAAAAAGCAAAGATGTCACTTTGGGGACTAAGGTGTGCCTTACCCAAGCCAGAGTATTTTCTTTCTTTTTTATTGTGCTTTACATGAAAATTTACAGCTCAAGTTAATTTCTCACTCAAAAATTTATACACATAGTGTTCTGTGACATTGGTTGCAATCCCCAGCCACGGTATTTTCAATCACTTCATATGCATGTGAAAGCTTGGAGAATGAATAAGGAAGACTGATGGCTGCACACAAACAAAGGCACTCACCATAAGTCACAGTGTTAGCATACACTTTGTGGCTAAACTGATACAAGGCAGCCCACAGCCTCAGGCATACAAGAATACTCTTGTCAGGCAGGATATTCCAAGAGCCCAGAGCTTATCTCCCAGATCCCAGTCAAGTGTCAGTCTTCCGGAAGACAGGCCTTTCTTTGTTATGTGCAGAGTTTGAGGGATCCTGGCCTGCTGAGTTAACGCTTTCCTGCGCAGCTGCCTTTTATATTTGCGGTCTGAACACTGACTGGGCCCTCATCTGCCCAGTCCTGCCAGTCACCTCCTGCATATATTCTACTCACAGAACATTCTCATATTCTCCACTCTCTTCAGGCAGATTTTCCTCAAACTGGCTATTCTTCTCAACTCCCTGTCCTTACTCTCAGCATAAACTAGACTCTTCCTTAACCCAGAAAACAGAAACTGTCAGAAGAGAACTTCCTGAGACCAAACCACTGAACCTGCAACCTCACCCATTCTTTCCCCCTTTCCTCTGGTTACCATGGAGGTTAATCCTCCCCCTGGCTCTGGATTCCACCCCACCTTCCACCCAATTCATTCAAGGACTGTTACCACCGAGGGCACGGAGGCCCTCCGGACTCCATGGGTCCTTGTCTTTCTCTTGCAAGAATACACAGAGAAGACAATTTTTGGGTTCACCTCTAACAGGATTCTTTTACTTGTAACAAGTAAAGGAGTCAGTCAGGGCTCATGTCTCTCCAAAAGACTGGACTGCAAGGAGAAGCAAGGCGAGGGCTTACATGGGTTCAGTGGGGACAACAGAGCAATGAATATGCAGTGGGTTTCTTCGAAGGGGCGAGTCCTCCTTGGAATGGTAGCGCATACTAATTAGGTTGTGTGTGCATCTGGAATCCAGGATGGAACCTACTGATGTTCAAGACGGAGTTCCCTTGGCAGCTCTCGGCATCACTTATTATGAGATATGGGATATGGCGTGGGTGCACTGATCTTCTCTATTACTTTGCCCCCTTCAATGGGCCAAAACAGCAGTCACACTTTGTTGTTCTGTGCATGCAGAGCCTGTAAGAAGGGGGAAGGAACTGGAAAAACACTAAGGAGGAAGTAGTAGTTCACGGGTTGTTCTAACCTTATTTTATGTTGACAGGATTTGGTTCCTGTTAACTCAACTTCTGGGTGGTAGTCTTTTAACAGCTCTTTTATTCCGCAAGCACAGTTAACCCTGTCTGTCTCAGGACTCCTCTTTCTCCTGTATCTTCTACTTCTCCCTCTCTTTTGCTAGTTCCCCACATCTTTAAAAAAGCTCATCTTCCCTATTAAAAAACAAAACAAAAAACAACCTTCCATCAACTTCGTATCTCCCTTTAGCTATGGTCCCATTTTTCTTTTCTTCTTGAAAGACTAGTCTACACTTACTGCCTCCATTTTTCCACTTCCTACTCCCTCTTTACCCCCCTGCAATTGTGTTCTCTTTTGCAACCCCACTCCCAACAACCTCACTGAAACTACCCTCACTAAGGATACTAAGACCTTGTGATTGTTAAATCCAATGGGACCTTTTTAGTCCACACTGCACGTGACCTCTCTGTGGTACCACTCAACCTTGGCCTCAGTTTTATGTTTTTTAAAATTATTTATTTATTATTATTTATTTGGCTACAACTTCTCTTTTCCTTTGTGGGCTCCTTTTACTTACCTGTCCCTTAAATCTTAATGTTCTCCAGCATTCTCATCTTTTTCTTATACTGTTATCCTAGGCAATCTGATCAATTCTAGTCCACTCATATGCTGATGACCAGACCTCTTTTCTGAGTGTCACATCACAGTGTCCAACCAGCCCACAGTCATCTTTAGTTTGGAATCTCATGTAGGCAACTCAAATTGAACATTTTCCATTGAACATTCTCCCCAATGGATCCTCCTCCTTTATTCCCTATCTTGGTAAAGAAGCCATTATTCCACTCAATTACCCAAACCAGAAACTAGTCATCTTTGATTTCTCCCTTTCATTTCTTATATCCATTTGGTCTCAAAGCCTTCTCTCCTCCACCTTCATAATAGTTTGTAAACACATTCCCTTCCTCTCCATACCCTCAGCCACTACCTTACGCTCTTGTCATCCCTTGACTAAATAATTGTCTCCAATCTCTTAACTAGACTCTGCCTCTAGTACTATCCTCTCCAGTACATTTCTCACATTGTGGTCAGGGTGGATTTTCAAAAATGCAAATCACATTGTGTTATTTCACTGTTCATACTTCTTCAATAGTCTGCATAGTTTGCATAGTCTTCAATAGTTTGCATAGTCTAGAAAAAGTTACTTAGCAACTTCTCAGCAAGGCATAGGTTGTCCTTATGATCCGGCCATGCCTATCTTCCAATCTAAATGACAACACCATCCCCATCTCCCTTCTTTCTCTCTCCTCCAACAACACATTTAGACTTTGGTGGGCTCTCTGCCATTTGTGCCTTTGCAGATGTTGCTCCTTCTGCTTAGAATGTCTTTTCCTCACCTCTGTCCTTTTTTCTTGGCAAATTCCCACACAGCCTTCAAGACTCAGCTCAAGCCATTACCTCCTATGACAAGCCATCCCTGATTATCCCTCTTCCATTTGGGTTAGATGACCCTACGTGCTTCCTTAGAACCCTGTCCTTGCCTCTATCATAACACTGAGGCTATTGTCTTTCACTGTAACTTTTCTCTAAGTTCCTTACGGCATCTACTGTAGTGTTTGACACACAGTAGGTATTTCCAGGATTATGAAGTCAGAAAGGTTGAGTTGATTCAAACAGGGGCTTAGAAGACTGCTAATGTGACTTTTCCTGTAAAAACCCTAGGTGAACCTAACTTAGGTAAAGAGATGAAGCCTTTACGATGAGGTTGAGAGAAAAGTGCATAGTAGCCTTCCTGACGATCTTTTCCCTTCCATTTATAACATCCACAAAATGGATTAATCACCAACAATAGCCCAGATTCTGTAGGGGATACAAAGGTGAAAAAGCATAGTCCTTACCCTAAGGAGTTCAAGCCTATGGTGAGGGTAGGGAAAGATACTACTCTCCTCTAATCTCCATATGTAACCGGACTGTTCCAGGTCCGCTCGGCGCAACCATAGAGACACGAAACAGGTGAAAGCAGTAGAAAAAGCTTTATTTGGTTGGCCAAGCAAAGGAGTACACCGGGACTTGCGTTGCCAAGATGGCTCCCTGAACAATGGCCAAAACAGTATCTATTAAGAAAGGGTCCTGGGGAAAGGAACAGGTTGTTGATTGGTCCTGCCCCAAAAAAAGACGTTCCGAGGCGGTTCTGTCGTCTGCGCTTGCTCAGTCCAAAAGGGCCGGGGAGGGCGGGGAGCTTCTCAAACTGGATCTTAGGCTCGGATCCCTCCCTTCTAAAAGTCTTCCCCCAATCTTGGGAAGCTAAAGTTTGGTTCCGTCGGGCGGGAGAAAAGTTCTGGGGTCACCCAGAGGACGGGCTGATGGTTCTGCTCATGTCAGGTGGGCCAGATTTGGTCTTAACTGGCTCTGTGGTCTGCAGACCCCAGCATCTTGTTTTTCTGATCTTGGGCAGGAAGTTGGCTGATTGCCTAAAAAACACCTGGAGAAACCAGTTAGAAGGGGAGGGGGCTCATGCTACTTTACTCACAAGTTGGGGTTGGTAATGGTGCCCTGAGGCTGCCCACTTTAAGGGGCTATGTTCCCAACCAGAAGCACTTACTCCTTCTTCCTTTTGACTTGAGTGGGGCGCAAATGTCTCTGCCCTGGTTTCCCAGGGATACTCTTTGAAAATTATAAAGTTAAAAATGCGAAAGAGAAAAGCAACCCCTGACATCCAGGAACTGGCCTGGTACTATCAGCTAGGCCTTTCTTGGTGTTGCTATATCTGGTCAGGCACTCACAGCTAGGTATTGGTGTTCTCCTGTTGAACAATTTCACAGAATATCAACATCGGACAAGGCCTCTGTGAACACGACGGAGCAATAAAACACAAAATCACTCTGTAACCATGGCTGAACTCAGGCAAAACATGAACATTGTCCAAGCCACAAAACACCAAACATACTCCTATTCTGGCAAAAATGAGTAACTGCTACTTCTTGACCAATTACAGCTTTAGCCTCCTCTCTAGTCACCTCCTCTTCCTGACAGCTTCCAATATACAGAAAAAAAGCCTTGCTTCCTTAAATCCTCTCCAAAATCACCTAACAAAAGCATGAGTCCTGTGAAAGGTTTTCCACATTGGTAGTTAAGTAATAAACCCAACTTGTTTAAGGCGGGTTCCTGGCGGTCTTCTGCTGAAAGGCACTGCCATACAAAAGATGGAATTAATCTCTTCAAAATATAAAAATAGTAAACATCAACAAGAAAAGGATTAACATCCCATAAAAACTTGGCCAAAAAGGGGGGGGGGTTAATACAAGAGAAGAAATATAAATAAATGGCTTCATAAGCATTGGAAAGAAAGCTTGACTTCAAATGCATTAAATAATGCTGCCGATTCTGTTGGTGAGACCGTTTCAAAACTGAGTCCAGATGATCCTGCCGTCCCTTTCCTGAAAATCTCAACACTAAAAGCCTGAGAAACCCTGTAGTGTAGAAGTTTATCCTCTACCAAGCTGGGGGTGGCAGACTCTGAGTGCCACACTGAAAGAGTCTTAGCTCCGCCTCAGCAACGGTCATTATCATCTTCCCCAGAAAGACCACATTCCCAGGGTGGAGTTGGTCCTCCGAGGGAGCTGTTGTGCCGCTCACGTTGGCGGGCTCCAAAGGAAGAATGTTCTAGCCTTCCGCCCTACTCGATGGTAAGGCCCACGGCTGCCTGGCCTCTGGGCGCCGCCATGTTGGAGGCTCAGGACCGGAGCCATGGCTGGGAGCGCGAGAGCCAGAGCGCGAGCCGGGCCTCCTCTTCCCGGCAGATGCTGGAAGTGCGGCCAGGGCTTTACCTGGGTGGGGCCGCGGCCGTCGCGGAGCTGGACCAGCTGAGGGAGGCGGGCATCACGGCCGTACTGACGGTGGACTCGGAGGAACCCAGCTTTAAGTCGGGGGCCGGGGTCGAGGTTCTACGGCGCCTCTTTGTGCCAGCACTGGACAAACCGGAAACCGACCTGCTCAGTCACTTAGACCGATGCGTGGCCTTCATCGCCCAGGCCCACGTCGAGGGCCGCGCGGTGTTGGTGCACTGGTGAGTGGCTGGGTTTGCTAGAAGAGCACCCGCTTGCCCTGCTCCGGCCTTCCCCCGCTACCCCTTTCCTGTAACGCCCCGTGGAGGGGACGGAGGCGGTCAGACCTCGGGAACCATCTCCCACGCTCTCCAGTGGGAGAGGAAAGGTGGGGGGCAGGAGGTGGGCCCCTGATGGTGTGCATGCTTTCATTCATTCATGTATTCATCATTCATTCATGTATTCATTCATTCATGGGGCACCGTGGTTTCGTTTGTTTTTATATGTTGCTAGGTGCCCTCCAGTCGGTCTGACTCACAGTGACTCCATGTACAACAGAAGGAAACACTGCCGGTCCTGCCCATTGTTGTAGCCACTGTGTCATTGAGGGTGTTTCTTTTTTTCCCTGACCGTCTACTTTACTAAGCTTGATGTCCTTCTCCAGGGTTGGTCCCTCCTGATAACATGTCCGAAGTAAGCTTGACAAAGTCTCGCCATCCTCGCTTCCAAGGAGCATTCTGGCTGTACTTCTTCCAAGACAGATTTGTTCCTTCTGCTAGCAATCCATGCTATACTCAATATTCTTCGCCAGCACCATAATTCAAAGGCATCAATTCTTCGGCCTTCCTTATTCATTGTCCAGCTTTTGCATGCATATGAGGCTACTGAAAATACCCTGGCTTGGGTCAGGTGTACGTTAGTCCTCAAAGTGACAGGTTTGCTTTTTAACACTTTAAAGAAACATTTTGCTGCAGATTCGCCCAATGCGATGCGTCTTTGATTTCTTGACTGCTGCTTCCATGGGCGTTGATTGTGACTCCAAGTAAAATGAAATCCTTGACAACTTCAGTATCTTCTCCGTTTATTATGATGTTTCTTATTGGTCCAGTTGTGAGGATTTTTGTTTTAATATGTTGAGGTGTAATCCATACCGAAGGCTGTAGTGTTTGATCTTCATCAGTAAGTGCTTCAAGTCCTTTTTGCTTTCAGCAAGCAAGGTTGTGTCTTCTGCAAATCGCAGGTTGTTAATGAGTCTTCCTCCAGTCCTGATGTCGAGTTCTTCTTAATATAGTCCAGCCTCTTGGATTATTTGCTCAGCAGACTGAATATGGTGAAAAGATACAGCCCTGATGCACACCTTTTCTGATTTTAAACCAGCAGTATCACCGTGTTGTATTCAATAAATTACAAAGTTCCTGCTCCTAAGGAATTTATAGCTCTGTAAGAAAAGCCAGATACCCACCCTGGTGAACATAATGTAGACTAGGATGCTAGTCGTGTACTGAGAATGGTTAAGTGCTTGGCTGCTAACGAAAAGGTTGGCAGTTTGAATCCACCAGCTGCTACTTGGAAACCCTATGGGCAGTTCTACTCTCTCCTGTAGGGTCCCTATGAGTCAGAATTGACTCAATGGCAATGGGTTGTTTTTTAAGGTTATTCAGCCTTCAGAGGAACAGCAGATTTTCAGTGTTTTTCCTGAGGTGGGGGGTGGTTGGTTGATGAAGGGGAGAATTGGGGAGAGAAGAATTCAGTTGGTATTTAAAGAATCCCTGGTCCGAGTCAGGGGAAAAGTGGGATAAGTTGCAGTAAAGGTAAAAAGAGAATCTTGATGGGTATTTGGGAATCCCTAGGTAGTCATGTCTTGACTGGATTGAAGCATGATGACAATAGTTTAAATTTATTGAACACTTACTGTGTGCCCTGGTGGTGCAATGGTTAAGGGCTAGGCTGCTAACCAAGAGGTTGGCAGTTCGAATCTACCAGCTGCTCCTTGGAAACCCTATGGGGCAGTTCTCCTTGGTCCTACAGGGTCACTATGAGTCCAAATCAACTTGACAGGTTTGGTTTTGGTTTACTGTGTGCCAGCCCTTGTTCTAATTGTTTATATAAAGGAAAGAAGATAGTGATGGATAAAATTAAAAGAAGTCTGGGACCAGATCTCAAGGGCCCTGAATGCCAAGAGCAAAGGAGTTTAGACTTGTTGTGAAGTCATTACACATTTTTAAAAAATTAATTTAATTGTTTTTGAATAGGTAATTCATATGGTTCAGAATTCAAAAGGAATAAGAGAATATTCAATTAAAATTCTCCCTCCATGCTTGCTACCTGGGCACCCAGTTCCCTTCTGTGGAAGCAATGAATGTTAACAGCGCTTATCCTTCCAGAGATGCTTTATGCATACTAAAGTAAGCATTTGTGTGTGCTCTCTTCTCTCTGTGTTACTCAGATGTCAGCATGTTATCATGCTTTTCTGCACCTCGTTTTTTTTACTTAAAACATATTAAGGATTGTCACATATCAATACTCAAAGAACTTCATTTTTTACAGCTATTTATTCAGTTTTATGAATTATCCTAATTAAACCTGTCTCTTAATGGGCATTGAAATTAATCCCAATATTTTACAAACAGCACAACTTAACTTACTCATTTTGTCCATCTATGAATATACTTATAAGGGAGATTCTCAGAAGTGGAATAGTGGGGTTAAAGGGTATGTACATTTGTAAGTTCTGATAGGTATTGCCAGATTGCTTTCCATAAAGGTTTTAACACTTACAGTGTTACAGTGTCAGAGGGGGTGACACCAAAATGACCCCAAGGTCCTCAGCAGAGGTGGCGGGCAGGCCAGTGCTCCCAGCGAGGGGCCGCCAAGGCAGTGGCATTATAGGGTTGGTGTCACCCATCCTCCAGTGCAGTAACTCGTTGAACCCCCACCCCCCAACCCCTCTGCCCCCAGTCACACGCCAGTCAGGATGTGGGCAGCCAGGCTGTGCTCCCGCCATTGGGCAGAGAGGAGGGTCTCGGCTTTGGCCAATGGGAGAGGCGAGGAACTGTGGGGACCTACTGGGGTGGGCGCCAGGAGGGGTGGGGCAGCACAGCACACAGCACTTGGCCCTGCCAAGGGTGGGGGAAGGCTGGGCCTCACCACCCACCAGGGGGCAGTTAGCTGGCCAGCCCCACCCATGGGAGTGTGACACCATGAGTTAACTGCACTGGGTGACACCAACCCTAGTGACGCCCCTGACATTTTACACTTCTACCAGCAGTGTAGAAAGTACCTGTTTCCTCACATCTTCTCTAATAAGTGAATTATCGGATCTTTTCATCTTTGCCCATCTGATAGGTAAAAAGTACGTTTCTCTTGAAGGTTGTTGTGAAGGAAGTTTTAAGTCGTAGAATCGATTCATGGGAGGCGAGATGAGTCTGAGAGACTCATATTTCTTGTTACTTGGAATTATTATTTTATACCCAATATAGCAGTTCTTTTAGACACAGTTAATCATTTTGAAGCCATATATCACTCTAAAGTACACATAAAAAGGAAAATACTATATAAGCTACATAAATTGGTTAAGATATTCGTAAAACTTCTTCACATTCAGAGTCTAATTCTTTTGAATCTTTTATTAAATATTCCCTATGCACAACAACGACAACTCTGTCACAATTGTTTGTCTGACCACATCAATTGTAAGACACAGTTTCAGAGATGTGGGAATCTAAAAAATGTGCATTTTAGAATAGATGTAACACAGTAATCAAGACATGATGTAATGCAGCTCTGGCCTTTTGAAATTGCAGTTATGATGGAGAGAAGGCGTCTCAAGTAAGAGATACAGTGGTTGAAACCTGTTTAGTCCAACAAATGATTTTGTTCTCTACCCCAAAGGATTATGTGACAGTGTATAATCAATGAGGCTAAAATGTAGGAGGTGGTTGTTGTTAGCTGCCATCAAGTTGATTCTGACTCATGGTGACCCCATGAGTGCAGAGTAGAACTGCACTTCATAGGGTTTCAAGGCTCTGACTTTTGGCAGCAGATTGTCAGGCCTGTTGAGGCATGTTGGGTGGGTTTAAACCTCCAACCATTAACCATTTGTGCCACCCAGGGACTCCTAAAATGTAGGAGGAGAGATGGTTAATTCTCTCTCTATATGCTAACTAGCTCCTCAGCTCTTAATAATTACATCACTTACAAGTTGTGTGACTCTAGACAGGTCACATAATTTCTTTGATCCCCAGATTCTTCATCTCCAAAATGAGATGCAGTGCTGTCCTAACTGAGTAGCCGAGGCATCATATGGCAGTATGTGAAAGGACCTAAATTTTGTTAAATGCGTGTGTGGTAAGGATCAGCACGAATTCAGTCCCCCAAATCCTCACATTCCCACTTCTCCATCCTCATCGCCAGCTGCCCCCATGGCATTCTCTGACCCTAGTCACTTGGAGCTAGGTTAAAACCCGCAAATTAAAAAGAAACCATTCTTCACACTGCCAGATAGGCAGACACCAGACTCCAGCTGCAAGTTTGGGGAGTCCACACAACACCCCAACCTTCTGACCTGCTGGCCACAAATTCAGGACTGGTTTCCCACTGTCTCTTCAAAACGCCAGCCACCAGCTTGGGAGTCCACCCAACACCCCAGCCTTCTGACCTACTGGTCCCCACTAGCCCTTTCAGTTCCGTAATTCACTGCATAACTTGCAGAATTCATGGACAGTACCATGCTTACACCTACAGATTTATTAAAGCCAAAAAGGATACAAATGAGGAGACACATAGGGTGAGGTCTGGGAGGGTTCCCAGCGTGGAGTTTCCATGTCCCAAGTGACATGCTAACCTCCCAAAAGCAGATATTCTTGCCACTTAGGAAGCCCTTTAAGTCTTTGTGTTCAGGGCTTTTATTGGCCAGTCCTGCATAGTAGGCTAAATAATGCCTCCTGAAGCTAGGTGATATTAGCTTCTCAGATGAGTCATTTCTGATCTGTCCAGTCCCGACTCAGGTTCTCAGGTGCGGCCTAGAAGTCCCAGACCAAGGCACCCCAGTTCTCTGAGGCTTATTTCTCTGGTCCTTTACCGCATATTGTGATGACTGTGTTCTGTTGTTGTGTGCTGTCAAGTTGATTCTGACCCATAGCGACCCTATAGGACAGGGTAGAATTGCCCCATAGGCTTTCCTAGGCTGTAATCTTTACAACAGCAGATCGCCAGGTCTTTTCTCCTATGGAGCTGCTGGTGG